CATGAGCACATGGCCTGGAGCTATACTTAGGATCACTACCAGGTTGCTCCCCACCCACCCAAGGCCTGCCTGACAGGCCAGCCAGGCTGGCAGCATCTCTTCAGTAGCAGCAGGGAACCTGCGTGGCCCTGCAGATGATGCTGGACTCCCAACTCCCAGCAGCCCTTGCCAGCGTGGCCAGTGCCCAAGGAGTAGGGGAGTTGTAGCCCAACCCCCAGGTTAGCCATCCCTGCATTAGGGACTGCAGATGCATGTTTTAGGATGCACACTTTCGTTGGGGGACCGGGGACAAGGTTGGCCCAGCCTGATGAGTGTTACTGCCCCCGCCGTATGCGTCCAAATGCGTCCAAACTCCCTCCCAGTCATCATTTCAGGGTTAAGACTGGCAACTTGGGTTTCTGTTTTGTTTCTTTAAATGGGAGTGGAAAGCAGACTGTGGTTATCTCCCAAGAGACCTCTCTGCATTTCGAAACTAAAGCTGCCTTTCATTAAGTCCATCATTACTGACCCTTCACATGGAGGAATACAGTGGTACCTCAGGTTACAGACGCTTCAGGTTACAGACTCTGCTAACCCAGACATAGTACCTCGGGTTAAGAACTTTGCTTCAGGATGAGAAAAGAAATCGCATGGTGGCAGTGGGAGGGCCCATTAGCTAAAGTGGCACATCAGGTTAAGAACAGTTTCAGGTTAAGAACGGACCTCCAGAACAAATTAAGTTCTTAACTCGAGGTACCACTGTACCTGATAAGCTTCCCTGAAACACAGTAGGGAAATCACTCATATTACTTATTGAATATGATGAATGGTTTCTTATTAAGATTCATTCCAAGCCACATTCTGACCTGGCTTTGGGGTGAAAACAGACTTGCAACAGACCCTGGTGGATGATGTGTGCTGGGGACTAGGGTGGTGACCATGATGTCCCCACCTGTCCAGCCTAGGTGGTACAGAATGACAGTGACTCCAATCCTTCCTTGTTGGTTGGTCTCAGGTGGTGCTGGGTGACTTCTATTCCACCCCATGGTCTCTTCATGGATAAGGGTGCCATCTTATCTATGATCCATCATGCTCTTCAGCATCTAAACAAAGCCAACCAGAGGTTTAGGCAGCGATGTCACCAATATGCAGATGACAGACAGCTCTACTCTCTTTTTTGCCTAAGTCGCCCATGCAGGTTGTGGACCACATGAACCGGGTGCCCGAGATGGATGAAGAAGCAGCTGAAATTTAAGCTCGGTAAAAACAGGTTTTGACAGTTGGGACGGTGGCTACTCTGGATTGAGCTCTTATACAGGACAGGATAGGAACCTCCAAGTTAAGACTGCTATTGTGCCCTATCATGTGGGGCTACCTATGAAACTACAGCTAGTGCAAAATGCAGTTACTCAAATGCAAACGAAACCAGGACATCTGAACATGTGACACCATTTTTTGCACCAACTGAACTGGTTAATAATAATAATAATCTTATTTAAACCCCAGGTTAAACTTTACTTGTATGATGCCACCTTCACTTGTATGATGCTGCCCATATGCCACTACAGAGGTCCTGCTCTTGTACCTCCTTACTGAGAAAATTGGTTAGGCTAGAGAGTGTGAGAGAGAGCAGGGCTTTCTTGGTGGTGGCCCCAGTAATGGAACTCCTTTCTGTTAACCTACACTTTGCCCTTTCAGTCTAGGCCTTTAGAAGGAACTTGAAAGCACAACTCTTTTCAGCTGCCTTTCTTTGAGGGCACAAATGGCTTCTGCGATTCAAAGAAGTGTTTTGTTTCCTTTTCAGATGGCACCTGCATCCTTATAAGTTACACACATTGCATCTTGGCCTTAAAGGGCACCTTATAAATACTTCCAATGATTAAATAAATAACTTCATCTCGTTTAAAAATGGGCTTTTGAAGTGCATTTATTCCAAGCAGTTCTGATGTTCTGCCATTTAAGCTATATGGCTGAAGGGCACCCTTTCTCCAGATTGATCTCTGCTGTTTTGCCTTAAAAACAAAACTAAAATGCTCTTAAAAGTTTGCTCAGCCTTATGTGGGGACTCTCCTAATCAGAACAATCAAGAAAATGAACTAGCATGTTCTCCCTGTAAAAGTGATTAGGAGTGCAATCTGCAACTTCCTGTCCAGAGCTGCCTTATTCTTCTTCCCCCATTCTTGACCCAGTTGGACAGAAGGAGCTGGTGACCAAAGACTGCAGCAGCAGCAGCAGCAGCAGCAGAAACTACTGTGGAGCCAGTCCTACAGCAAAGGTAGGCGCTAGCTGGGGCAGGAGAGTGGGGTTGAGACATATAAGCTTATAGCCAGGATTTGGAGACGGAAAATAGAAAGTATTGAGTGGGGTGGATGGGGAGAAAAGCAATTCATCATTTTTATGAATTATTCATAGTTGGGGAGCTCTGTCCAGAATAAGAGAGATCTTATCTAGAAGGAGTTTGCTCACATTTTTGAAAAATCTGAAGAAGGGAGAGCTGCTAAGGAAAGCAAAAAAGCACCAAATGCTCCCCCTCTCCTAATAAAAATCAATAAGGATCAAGTTTCCAAAGGGGTAGCTGTCCTTGCTGTTTTTGCTCCAGCAAGGACTAAGAGCCACTTTAAAGACTAACAAAAGCATGCTGGTATAAGCATTCATGGACTACAGTTCACTTCATCAAATGCATGGTATGGTTATCTGTGGAATCCGACTATAGTCCATGAAAGTTGATGCCCAGACAAATGTGTCAGCCTTTGAGGTGCCACAAGACTCTTTGTTTTTAATAAAAAACAGTAACTTACAATGCACAGGCTTATATTGTGTGAGACATACTCTGGAAACTAAAACTGCTATATTAGGGACTACAAATCATGGCCACTCTTGTCAACTCACTTTTTAATCATTAAAACAGTGTGCCTTGATACTATTATAGTGTAGTTGCAATATTTTGTCTGATACTGTCTGCGTACTAAAAATGTAATAAAATAAGGGTGTGGATGCACAGCCCTAATAACCACACAATCATTAACTATGGATATGTGCCCTGCTTCAACGATTGCAGTTTTAATAGGTCCATAGCGCTAAAAAAAAGTAGTCCCCAGACCTGTAAGACAAGGAAACTCTTAAATTTCTGAAGAAATCCAGGTTCTGAGCCCTCATGGTTGTGAATAAATATAACAAATGGTTACAAGAGTGCTACTGTCAAAACTCATAAGCAACCAGATGGTCTGTACATATTCTTTTTTTATATATTCCATCATGTTTGGGGTGGGGCTTTCATTGTTACTGACCACAATTGCCACTGCTGCATGGCTGACACATTGGTTATACTGTAATTGCAACATCGCACACGTCATAAAAATATACAAGAGACAAAAATGCTGTCCACTCACAAATTTTCCCCTACCACAAAGGGAACCACATCATTTGCAATGAGAAAAAAAGGAACCAAGCTCAAGTCATTATAGAAAAGGATTTATACACTGAACCACCACCACCACCAAGCCCTTCAAGGTACAGCTAGGATTATCCTAGCAAGCAGGTGGAACTGACCATTAGAAGTCACCCTGGGGGCAAGGGGAAGCCCCTGTCTCAATGTAGTCACCCTGGGGGCAAGGGGAAGCCCCTGTCTCAATGTAGTCACCCTGGGGGCAAGGGGAAGCCCCTGTCTCTTAATGTAGTTTCCTGAGACTGCCGCTGCATAGATGGGGAGCACACCCAATTCCCTTGCACTGGGCTTCTTTAAAGTTCTGACTAATGCAGACGTGGTCACTGATCCCTCGAGTTGGGGGAAATGCATTGGCAACCCCACTCCTCATCCTGGTGATGTGCATCCATATAAGCAAGCGGAACAGGACAGTGCAGAACTAGCCAGACCACAGAGGTCCTTGATCCTATAGAGATAAGTTTGTTCCAAGAGTATAGAAAAAGCCAGGCCCACATTGAGATGGGAAGGTGGCTGCCTCGATTTCTAGACATCATTAAAGAGTGGCAACAGGCAAGATAAAAAGGTAAAGGTAAAGGTACCCCTGCCCGTACGGGCCAGTCTTGACAGACTCTGGGGTTGTGCGCCCATCTCACTCAAGAGGCCAGGGGCCAGCGCTGTCCGGAGACACTTCCGGGTCACGTGGCCAGCGTGACAAGCTGCGTCTGGCGAGCCAGCGCAGCACACGGAACGCCGTTTACCTTCCCGCCAGTAAGCGGTCCCTATTTATCTACTTGCACCCGGAGGTGCTTTCGAACTGCTAGGTTGGCAGGCGCTTGGACCAAGCAGCGGGAGCGCACCCCGCCGCGGGGATTCGAACCGCCGACCTTTCGATCGGCAAGCCCTAGGCGCTGAGGCTTTTACCCACAGCGCCACCCGCGTCCCTAACAGGCAAGATAGTATTATTTAATTAATGTGTGTGCACACCTGCAGAGGCAGTGGAGCCACTTGGATTTTATGGCACAGGGCAAAGATGTCTTTTGCTGCACCCATGAAGCAGGGAAGAGCCCTCGTGTTCTTTAATCCTGTACAAGGAATAAGGGGTAAAGCGAAGAAGGCTGAGATTGCTTAGCACAAAAAATCTCCTGGGTGGCCACTAGTTTTGTCACCATTTTGTGGGAGGGATTAAATCACATACCAGAAATTTAGGTTTGCACAATTGCAACTGGGGTGCAATTAATTCACTTCTTTGAAAAAAGAAACCTGGACATTTCCCAGTTAGGAAAGTGACAGACACTAAAAATTTGGGATAACTATTGATTCATGGAAGTTGTACAACATCCCCATAATAAAATTAGAACAGAATTCCACCCACCACCCAATTACTGGAGAACAGGAAGACAACCATTCCCACTTATTAGGGTATAATTAAATGAATTATACAAGAGGACACCAACCTGTTGGTCAAGGGCCTTCCACAAGTTTTGGGTTCCTGCCCCTTGTGGTCCCACCCTCTCATCCTCCAGGTGTTAACATCATCTGAGTTTGCACACTTTTTCTTGATCTTCCATCAAGTGCAGCAATACAAAAAGTGTAAGTCACTAGGAAGTTCTTCTGCACAAGTGTGAATAAAATAAATGGGAGCGATGCAAGAGCCCAAGGGTAGCCCTGCAAAGCTCCCATGCATTTCAGCAGCAGCTTGTGCTGGATAATTTCCCACTGACTGTGGCCTGATCTCTGAGGCTGCAAACTCTCCTCATTTAGAACAGCATCTAAGAAGTTTGGCTTGTTTGCATTTTTCAGGCTTTTCCTCCTTTCTTTTCTTTTTTAAAGAACATGCCTCCATTCATGGCTAATGAGAGTTTCTACGAATCTGAGGACTCCTTCACGTTACAACATATGGATTCCGTGTCTATTGGGTCTCTGCTCCTCTTCTCCATCACCTTTCTCCTGGGCCTCCCCGGAAATGGCTTGGTAATCTGGGTCGTTGCTCTGAAAATGAAGCGAACGGTGAACACAGTTTGGTTTCTGCACCTTGCCGTGGCTGACTTTGTGTGCTGCCTGTCCCTGCCTTTCTCCATTGTCCACCTGGCGCTGCATCAGCAGTGGCCTTTCGGGTGGTTTTTCTGCAAGATTATCCCATCTGCCATCATCTTCAACATGTTTGCCAGTGTCTTCCTCCTCACCACCATCAGCATCGACAGGTGTCTTGTGGTGATGAAGCCTGTCTGGTGTCAGAATCACCGGACAGTAAGGTTCGCATCCGTGGTCTGTGGTGTTACCTGGTTCCTAGCTTTCATTATGTGTTTTCCTGCTTTCTTCTATCGCGAAATCTCCATTGATGAATCGGGCAATGCCAGGTGTGTCTACAATTGGCATGGTGAGGAATATGAGGAAGGATGGCCAGATTATTTGTTTCCCAGCAACGAAGAATTTTCTAGTCAACGTCCTACCTTTGTGACTAGTAGCTATGAAGATATTTTCACAGACGGAATTTTGGATGTGTATTCCGAGTACCATATTCTTAATACAGTCAAAAAAAGGCTTGGTATTCTAGCACACCAAGCACTCTTGGCACTAATAGAGATACAGATCCATTGACGGTGGAAGTCACCAGCCCAAAATACGTGTCACACGAATCTTCCCACCCAGCTACTGCCATATCCAATGTTATTTATTCCGATCTTCCCGACTATTTTCTTTTTGGCAATTACTCTGGCAACCTCCCGATTAGCAATGACTCGATGGCAATGCCTTTTTATGATGAGCTGCCAAGCGTTCTTGTGTCCATTACTGTCACCCGAAGCATCTTTGGTTTCCTCCTCCCCTTCGGAATCATGACTGCCTGCTACGTCCTTATTGCCCTCAAGATGCTCAGAAACCAATTTGCAAAGTCCCGCGTGAAGGCTTTGCGGGTGATCCTGCTTGTGATAGCCACTTTCTTTCTCTGTTGGGCTCCTTATCATGTCATTGGGGTGCTGTACCTCCTGGCTAACCCCAGCACAGCACTTTATGAAACACTGGCTTTGTGGAACCATGTTTCCACAGCATTGGCCTATGCCAACAGCTGCATCAACCCACTTCTTTATGTGTTTGTGGGGAAAAAATTCAGGGAAAAAGCACGCCAGACGGTGCAAGGGATTTTGGAAGGGGCATTCAGTGAGGAAGGAACATGCTCCACTGCCTTCTCCCAGGAAAGAAGCAAGTCTACAGTTGACCATGATATTGATGTTTCCGCCCTCTAAAATGGAGCTTCCAGGCAACTAAACTGTCCTTGCTACTGCGGATTCTTGATTGGCACAGATGTGGCCACTTTGAATTAGTATCTGGAGCTCTTGCATATGCAGAGAGCAGCCACACCTTGTGAATCCCCTTTGTGCTACGGTGTGAGGGGGTCAAGTGAAGTTCTGGGTTACACCACAGAAGGGAGACGGGGACAACTGCCTATCTTTGCAACATGTGTGGTGGTGGTGGTATCCAAATTTGTCAAAAATTTTCTAGCACTGCAAATGTGCCCTACAGTATTACTTGTTACATATTTTTTTTCCCTGTTGATGAAAGGAAGTAGCATAGCCATGTATGACGAGCCAGAATAAGCTTTAGCGGTGGCACAGAAATCTTGCAAGAAGTGTCAGCAGCTTTGTTTTGTAAGTGGTCTGCATTCACCAAAAACTGCCAAAGAAAACTGGACGCAGTGCTTACGTAATTTCTAAAAGCAAAGCAGGGAAGAGGTAGGCAAGGGTTGAGCCTACGTTCTGCAAGCAGATCTAGGAGGAAAGCCCCTTCCCTTAACTTTAGGTGGGAACGGCTGCTCAACAGAAAGGAAAAGGTAGTCGGGGGGGGGGTCAACAGGCATGGCTAGAACCTACAGAACCAAGCCAAATAGTACCTGCAGACTTGAGTATCAGCTATGAGTATCCTGTCCGTTTTCAGGGCTACTGGAGACTCCATTCAAAATGTGCTTATTTCCAGAGCATACCTTAGGGGCTGCCTAGTTAATGAATTCTCTCCTACTGCAAATTCACCCAATCTGGGCACCTTTCCAGAAGCACTGTAAGGCCTACATTTTAGTACTAGCACCGGGAGAGTGAGTTAAGAGAAGTGGGGTACAATTTATTCTGTTCAGCTGCAGATGCATTGCTTTTGTCCCAGTTTTTTGCTGTTACGTATTTGGATTGGGGTAGGTTGCACACATGTACTAATAAATAAGTTGCTTTTAACCCTCTGAATTAAAACAGGCTTGACTTTTCCCTCTTCACATTTATCCTATGGTTACTCTCCCTTCCTAGCAACACTAGGTGGCTTTAATTTGGAACTGCTTAGTCCTTCTGCCTCAATACTGGGGGGGGGGGAGGGGGAAGAGTGTGAGAGAAACCAACTAGGGTGACAGAGAGCCTGAGCACCCAGGAAGCAGCCTGGCTCTATCAGTCTCTAGGCATCTCAATAGCAGAACCCTTACAGGCAGGTTACACCAAAAGCCAGATCAGAAGACCCAATAAAGACTAGGACGCTGCGTTGCTCTTAGTCTTTTCTCTCTCTATTCCTAAGGGATGGGAGGTTGTTTTTCTTTTCCATCCACGGGTAGAGGTAGGAGGAAGTGGCCTCCTTTCCATCTTCTCTTGAAAGCATTGGACAGAGGCCAACAGAGCAACCTCATGATTCCTTGTTGGGGAGGAACTTTCTCCTTTCCTTGACAAATTAAGGGAAACTGCACGCCAAGCAGTTTAATGTGAGGAGAGGAGGAGAGAGAGATCACTGAAGATATAAGGCAGGGAAACTATTCCTTTCCCTTCTCCATAAGGAAATATTTTCAGTTAAATCTCATCTCTGTCTCTTTCAGAAATATGTCAAGGGAGAGAAGGAAAATTCTAACTTTCATTCCTTCATGTGGCTCTTTTGCCTCCTTCCCATCCCCTTGTTGTCTTGTTCATGCTTTGTTTTTGGTTATGCTATTCTGTAAAATGTACCCTATGTATTAATAACACACCACTATTACAACAGGAAATTACAAGGATATATTCTATTATGTGCACCTAGCAGCTTGGTGATCAAGCTATTAAGGATGGCCTTGAATTGAGTGACACCTCTGCATCAGGCAGGGCATAGGCAAGAAGCTACTATTTCTTCCCCACCTGTCCTCCAAGGAGGTCAAAGTCATGGGCATCCCTTTAACAACAACCCTGAGAGGTAGGTTAGCTTGCAAGATAGCAACTGGCCCAGTCACCCAGTGAGCTTTGTGGCTGAGGAGGCATTCAAAGCAGGTCTGCCTGGTCAAAGTTTGTTGTAACCTCTGAATCCAGCAGCAGGACAGATCCAGTTGGGGCTGCAGATGCACCAGCTAAGGAGCCAACCAGGAACTCAGCTGGCTGTTCAATCTTGAGAAACCACTGTGCCTGAGGCTGTCACACAGGAGCCCCATAAGAACCTCCTGAACCACTGAGGTCTATAGGGACAGGCCCTCGCAGAACACCAGGAACCAAATGTTTCCCACAAGACCTCATCAGTCCAGTGACACAGGGGGGACAGAGTGACACAGGCTATGGGGCAGAGGAGTGCCTGTCTACAGGCCAGGTGGTTGGCCCTTCAAGTGTCTAGTGTTTTCTATGGGGGGCAGAGGCTTAGGCCTCACATAATGGGAATAAGTCTGACAGAGCCTCTGTTAAGTGTCCCCCCTTGAGATGGTTAGAGAACTCTGTGCCTGATCTACATTTCTTGACAAACGAGTCAAGAAAATGGACTAGGCCACTGTAGGACATGCATTTCTGGATGCTTCCCTGCATTTGAAAAATACATTCTCTGCACAAGTAAAAAGAAAAATGAAAAAAAGGTTCTAGCTCAACCCACTCTCCAGCAGTTTTTTCCTTGCAAGGAAAAGTAACATAGGGAAACATACAAAAATGGCGCTCCCTCACCTGGCCGTTCTAAAATGATGCAATCCAATCATTACCACCTCATTTGTTGTGTGTGTACACCAGGCCCACCAGTATGCAGCAGGTATGCGGTACCTAAAAGGAAAGGTTTGAAGAAAGCCTGTTGGTATGCATGTTGAAGAAAAGGGGCTAAAGAAGCCTTCGCTCGTGTCCTGGAGAACGTAGCTAAGTGCAAAACATGATTCCCTTTGAATGCTGCAGGTCTGATGAAAAGCCCTTTGGGCTCAAATTGTCTATTTCTAAACTCGAATCAGCAAGGAAGTCAGCTGACTTCCATATGTGCATCATGTTCCACCCAATCACTGCACCCAGCCTTTCTCAACTATGCTCAAAAGACCAGTTCCCTTTTGAAAGTCAAAGTTGCTCAATAAATAGCATGGCTCAGCAAAAATAATGTGCCAAAAAAAAAAAAGAGTCTCCACTCATGACTTTTATTTTGGATCACACTCCGTCACTCCTTTGAAACAAGGAAGCACCCATCACTGACTAATCTAAAAGTTTCCTGCAGCCCTGGACCTGAAGGTCTTTGAGCTGTGAAGTTGTACTGTATACAAGAAAATTTAAGAACAAAAGTAGATTCCTGCACTGATGGCTTCTAGAACTCCTGACTGCTGATAGGCTCTTACATCAACTCACCCAACAAAATTTCCTCTACTGAAATTTACTGTGGTGCAATGAATACTGTTAGTGTTGGATCATTCAGCCATGACCCTGGGCACCTCACTCTCTGAACCTCACACAGTTGCTGTGAAAAGAAAACAGGGTTAGCCCAAATATGTTGCCTGAGCTCCTTAGAAGAAGGGTAGGATACAAATATCAAAAACAACTTAAGTACCAGTGATTCAACTCAGTTTTAAAATATCTTGGTAGGGCTGTTTCCACACTGCGATTAAGATCTGTTGCACCTAGCCAAGGCGGTGTTAATTACATTATTAAAAAAACCAAACTTCTGGACTAATAAGGTCCTAATTCTATGTCCTAGAACATTGATCCGTAATAAATATTTATAAAAGTATGTAATCCTTTATGATAATACAGACGACTCTCAACTCACCAGGGGGTAAGGCCAAAATCATGTGCAGCCGTATCTTGAAAGTTGAACAGCTTAGTTCCCAAACGTTTTGCAAACTATTTTTGGAAGCCAAACATCCAACAGGGCTTCCGTGGCTTTTGATTGGCTGCAGGAGCTTCCTGCAGCCAATCAGAAGCTGTGCTGTGGTTTTTGAACATTTTGGAAGTCGAACAGACTTCCGGAACAGATTCCATTCGACTTCCAATGTACAATTGTATAGTCAAAACACATTGGGTTCAACAGTGAGTGGAATTGCCAAAGTATTTTTTCTCCATATATATATTCTTTCAATTTCGTTGTTCTGTATGGGACAATGACAATAAAGATTATTGTTTTGTACTGTATTGTATTATTCTGCTTTTACTAATAATAAGAAGGAGCAATGCAAGGGCACTCAAGCCACATCCCTAGTGAAATAAACTATTTTCAACCACCTTCCTGGATTCTAGGATTTCAGCCCCCAATTTCAATAATATCTTTAAAATCATAACGGACAAAGCATTTTTTAAAAAGAAAAAGGAAGCAGTGTTTCTCAAAACATTGAATTCTGCACTTTCTGTGCTCCTGCAAAATTCACTGTATAGACACTACTCTGCACGAAGGGATGGCTTTGGGCTCTGGTTGTAACATGAGGTGGTACAAATGTAAGGAAAAAACTGGAATCAAGCATATGTAAAATGACAGGCTTTGTTTCAGTAAGAACAAGGCTGTATTTCCTTTGTCCAAATTCCAGCCCAATGATGTGAGTTGCACCTTACGAGTTGCCACAGACAAATTAAAACAGGGGCACCAAAGGGATTAAACCATAAACATTCACTTTTTTAATTAAGAAAGCATGCAAAAAAAAATAAATCTGTGAGGCCACACCCCTCTCCCATCTCCTTGACATAAAGCATTGTGGGCTGCACTGAAGCGGGTGGGCAGACGAGGGATTTCTCTCCACGGCAGGCAGGCAGGCTGGCCGGCCAGCCCTCTGTGCTGCTGACCCTTGTTTTTCCAGGACAGGCTGTGTCAGCTGCTCACAGTGCAGAATTCCAGTGCTGAGTCTATGACTTCATGTGTCCATTCCAATACTAACCCACTTGAGAATGATGCAGTTAATTCAGAGGCAAAAGGGAGGATGTGGCTAATTTGCACACTGACTGGCATATATTTACATATGCAAACAAGGCGCCTTTAAATACCTATAGGAGTGATCTTTTATTCCCTCCACCTTCTGTGGATTTTATTCTTCGAAAACTTCTTGTAAAAAGCACCAGCTGGCATCTGGAGAAGTCATCTCTACAGCGTGTTCCACAGACACTCGCCAACAAGAATCTCCTGTTCCTGGTCACATCATTCTCATCTTGGGACAGTGTAGACAACCATTAAAACTCCTCCAGGAATTCAGCTCAGGGATTTTCTACTCCTCTCAGTACACACAATGATGGCCCCATTCCCCAACAACCAAAAATTCCCTCCCTCCAAAATCCAATGGAACAGTGAGTTAAAAGCAGTGCTACAGAACCTTCCCACCCTCGGGCACAGCACTTTCCTATGATGTTTTTTGCTTCCAACTTAAGTTTCCTCTTCACACAAAGCAGGCTTGCAGCTGAAAGAGTATGCAGATTAACAAGAGGTCTGGCAAAAGAGAGTCACACTAGAAATGTAAAACAAAGCAGCAAAGAGGTCACCTAGCTAGATCCAGTTCAAAATTCAATCCTAAACTGGCACCCTTCTTCTTCCTTGTCTCCTAAGGACTGCCATACAACTGAACTTCTGCCCTTCCTGACCCCACGTGACTTGGAAGGGCCCTTCCAACTTTCCCTCCTTTTCCAGCTATACACTTTCGGCATCTTCTTCACAGAGATATTCCACAATAACTTAGCCTCTACCAGAAACCCTCCACCCACCAAGCTCTGCTCAGCATTACATTCCTCCTTTCACCTTAAGTTTATCCAGGAAACAGGGACCACCAGTTGCTTATTTTATATAAGGCAGACAAGACACCCTCAGCTCCTACTCTTGCATCACAAGCCACAACACTTTCTAGAGAATTGAGAGGAAGTCAAATTCAGGAGTTAAAAAAACAAAACCTTGCAGGGTAGAGAAGTTACTTCTTGATTTTTATGTCTTATCTGCATATTCAAATAAGAGCCTTACTGCATTATGAGAGAAGGCAGCAGGAGGGGGGCGGAACTGTGATAAGACAAGCCCTGAGGATTCTGGTTCGATCTTGGTACCCAAGCCACATGATGCGGATACAAGCCAGACCTGTCAAGCTTTCTTTGTCTGCCGAGGGGGAAAGTGCAAAATGGCAGTGATTGAAAAAGGCAGTGTAGAAAAAAGGTAAAGGCCCCCATCGTCTATACCAGACACTCAGTCCCTACCAAGCAGCAGACTCGTAACCACCATGTTTCAGCTAGAGGGAAGTCCTCACCTTCCACTAAGGCAAGCCTGTCTCTGTCAAACTCCAATATTCCAGCTGTTCTCCACACCCAGAGCCTCATATTCTGTGCACTTGTTAATCCTGCTGCTCCTGCTGGTGTGAGAAAGTTCACAGACCTCCTTTCAACGCCGGTCTAACCCTCCCCCTCCCCTCCCCCTCCCCCTTTACAACATTTAAGAAAGAACATAATTATTACAGACTTTCAAGATTCACGGGGCTCTCTCACTTTTGTAGCCAATAAAACAGAGTCACTGGCCACCTTGAAGGGAAAGCGGGATTGTTAAAACGCAGGTGATGCAGGAAGAGAAAGATGCCCTCAAGAATTCCTCCTTCTGAGGTCTTCTCATGACACCAAAAAACAGTTTTCCTACCCTCCATCCCACACAGGGTGCCAGTAAACACATAAAATCCGAAGCTGGAAGATGGAGCAAAAGGGCTGTGCACTATTATTGATGATGATAATAATAATAATAATAAAGAAGAAGAAAAAAAGGTAAAACAGGGAGCGCAAGGAAGGATTATCTTCGGCAGCATCTTGCGGCAGCTTCTCTGGCGGAAGTAGAGAATATATATCTATATACAGGCAAGGAAAGAGGCTGAAGGTCTTGTGACCCAACCTCAGACTCCCCTTCCCATACCCTACATGAGGGATGTGCTATCAAGTCTGTAACTTGCTAGGTGATCAAATCCCAGTTGAAATCATCAGGGATTTCCTCATTGGCACCTGGAGGCGGCCGTGGAACCAGATGATGACCTGAATGCATTGCAGAAAGGAAGAAAACAGGAAACAAGTGGTCTATTATGTAGAATTCTTGATAATAAACTACTATGATCATTACAGAGCAGCTCAGTTCAGTTGAAACTCTGCACATGCCCCCAAATGGTGTTTTTGGCTTGGCCCTGGTGGCATATGTGAGACTGTCAACATATTCAGGCCCTTAAACAGGAGGCTGCAATTGCTTCAATTAATTCCGGAATCCAATGTCATATCTAATGCAAGCAACACTTTGTCTGTTATCTCTTGTGAGTGAATGGATTGAGCCAAAAAGCATATCCTGCATTTCCTGAGAGGGCCAAGCTGAACCATTTTCCAGCAAAGGTGAGATCACCTCATTAGAATGAGATCTGAGTCGTGGACTTTGCTTTAACCCTGTGGTAAAACAGCTGGCATGACTTAGGCAGACCCAGGGAAACACATTACCTGTGTCTTTTTACTATAATGACTCATGCTCAAACTGGACCTTTGTAAAAAGCCTGGTTCAGATTGAGGTGCGGTTTACTGGTAAGTTTCCCCTGTTACTGGATGTACACTGTATTCATAGTTTGTACAGCCATTTGGGATCACACCAGAAGGCTGCTCTGCTTTCAGATGCTCTATAGGGAAGATGGCTTTTCTCCCTGTCATTAACTTAAGTTAGATCCTTTCCTTGTCTCAATCTTCTCCATACTCCATACTCCTTGTATCTGAACTGTGTTTGTCATTTTCTTCAGAATTATTCAGGACCCCTAGGCCCCTTTCCCAAAGGATAATTTTTTCTATGTTTAAATGAATTGAAAGGTTTGAAAGAAGCCAGGATAAAACTGGAGATTAATTGCAAGGAAAGAAGCATTTTGACTAGACTCTGCAAGGGCCTGGTGGATTTTGCTGTCCGGTAGGTAAAGAGAGACAATGTCTGCAGGGACACTGGGTTTCACTGGAACTAATGTCTGCAGGGACACTGGGTTTCACTGGAAGTCTGCTCAGCTGTAGACTACTAGCACATTATAGACAGTGCCCCTCTTGAGTTGCAGTAGACAACCCAGTTTTTTGCCTTTCCTTCAACCACATGACAGGTAAATATTAGCACCTCAACTTTTGTACTTCTTTCTGTTTTCTGAATTTCCCAGTCCCATGCACTTTTAGTCTTTCCATTCTACACCTGTAGTACAGTGGACCTTCCAGATACGAACTTAATTCATTCCGGGGGTCCGTACATACCCCGAAAAGTCTGCATCTAGAGGCGCCGCTTCTGCACATGCACGCGGCACCATAGAGCGCTTCTGCGCATGCGCCGCGAAACCCGGAAGTATACACTTCCGGGGCTGCCGCATTTGCAACCCGAAAGTTACATTACCCGAAGGTAACGTAACACGAGGGTCCACTGTAGTAACTAAGCATTTGGGCCAAGCAATGTGTGGGTGGTTTAGCCTGTGTAACTGAGCACCTAACTCAAACATTTGCTAGAAATCATCTGCATATGTCTGGAGAAAGAGATGATAGCAGAAAGCAGATGATTTATACTTGCCAGCTAGACCCTGGAGCAAGCCAGAAATGAAATTATTCAACTTTTTATGTTCAAAGAATATCTCAAAACTCATCCTTACCTGGACGATTATACCCTGGCGTGTCCTGGGTGGAAATCTGGTACATTGGAGATGGCCCAGAGTAGAGATGGGGAGGCTGTGGCTGACCGTAAGAGTTCACTAGCAGAGAAAAGGGGGAAAGAACCATCAATAGCCCCAGCTACCTGCTTGCAACCTGGGAACACAAAAGACTAAGGTGGGATATGTGACTTCTACACATGCTCTCAGGTCTTCCTATAGGTTTATCTGTAGCATCATCTGGGATACAGAAAATCAGGGATGGTTTCTATCATTCAACTGGTTTGACTCCTTTGCCAGATATAAATATGAAAAACAATTAGCAACTTTCTCAATACATAAAAATAAAATAAAAAAGATATATGTACAATTTGCATTTTCTGCAAAACACAGATCTGTTTTTGGTTTCAGTTTTGTTGTATGTGAATTCATGTACCTCACTAGCCATGTCTGAGCACTATAGTTACAAAGTTGACATAAATTTGCTAGATCAACTCTTAAAGACTTCCTCCTTTTATCTTTATGCTCTTTCAAAAGCATACTAATTCAGCTTTGCAAAGAAATCCACAAAAATTACTAGCCCACTAGGCCTTCATACACCAGTTCAGTAATTTTTGAAAACTGTTACAAGTCTTTCATTGTATAATTAATTCCATCGTGGATTAACTGGAGGCATTTCTTACAGGTAAGCGGTTATTTACAAACCTATGCTACTCATATGACTTTACTGCACTAGAGTAAATGTGGTGGGGTGCAATTTGAAGTCGAAGAGGTAACAATATTTAGATGTTTTCACACAATGTGTCATCAGATCTCTATCCATGCAACATAATGAGCATGTGCAGCCCAGTATTCATACATTATGGACAACAGAAGACTCTTTGGAAATGGCTGAATTGTGGAATAAATTCATACCATGCAATCTCACTGTAGCAGTGAAAACTGGGGAAACCTGAACATCCTTTGATAACTGCAAATATGTCTTTGCATTTGTATAAGCTCTATGAATTCTTCTGATTCTTTTCAGCAAAGGCTTTCTTTCTTATCTCCGTGTGTTCCATGGGTGACTTGTGAATAAGCTTTTGAAGAATGCTTTCTTATAACTTGTTTTAAAACCGCTGTGTGGTGCTAAGAAGTGGTCATCAGGTCCCTGATTGTTTTCCTTGAGTCTTTCACACTAGTCAGAACAATAAAAGCTGAGATAGGCTGATAAACTATGTCTTGGCCCTTTTGAAACAGACACACATGCACTCATTCATGAGGTACATTTTCATCTCTCAGTAAAACACAGTATTTCTCAGTATGCACAGACACACACTTGCTAGCTGTATAAAGTGGCAAAGAACTGGACATGCTTAGCCATCCATCCTGTGCAAATCTGAGCCTACCGTAAGTGGGGGGAAACTCCTTTATGGTAATGGCAGTTGCCAACATTGCAGCATGTGTTTGCTACCATCTTTGCATTGCTCAGATATACTCTGGGCACTGAACATTCAGAATTTTTGGTGATGGTACAGGCACCTCAAACTTTCTCCCCCCTGTATACTAAGGGATCAGGCAAAACAGATCAAGGTTAGGGGAAATCTGCGAGACGGAGACCAGATGTGACAAAAACATATGCTTTGTTGAACCTTTTATCTCCATCCCTAGAAACGGTGCCACGTGAGGGGGTGTGGCTACACCTCTTTGATTCCGTCTCACCTACTGTCCTGGCATGGCAGGTCCCCACCCAGAAAGCCCTGCTGAGTACCTTGGTTCATGGGCTGCTCTTGTTTGCCACTATTCATGGCACAGGACTCGGAGATTCGGGGAAGCTGCTGTGGACCTCCCAGGTGAGGGAGCTGACCGGTCTGGGTGAGAAAGTGATTGAGGGAGTCACAGAGGTTGGCAATGTGATGCTGATCTAGAGTCCAGTTCTTACGCTCAGCCTGGCGCAGACTCTCCATCAACTCTGCAGGGGCCAGAGAAAGAGAGAGGTAAGAAACTAGGCGTCACTGTTCTCTACTCTTGCCGAAGAGATCCTTCTCTATATCTCTACTTCCCACTCTAAGCCTTTGAAGGGCCCTTTTCCTCTCTACCAGAGTGAAGGGTGTAAGGAAATAACATAACATGACCCACCTGAGAACTGGGAGTGCTCAATGCTAGACCAGTTCAGCCGATTCACCATCTTGAAGCTTTCTTTTAGGGAATCTATGTTGGAGCACCACTCAGGGGGAAATGCTGAAAAATGGGGGACACAAAATAGTCAATAGGGTGTACCCCCATACCTTATATTAGACACCAAATACATGCCTAATACATTTATCTCTAAAATCCTGAACTGAACAACCTACCTCCTCAGGACAACGTAACTCTTCTCTGTACCCAGCCACTCCTCTCCCTGTTTTATTCATTAATTCATTCAAAGCTTTCCAAGCTCCTTTTATCATCAATAATGGCTTACAAAAACTGAAGCTAATAAAATAATAGATATAAACACAAACACCCAGCAGTTAAAAGCAAAATTTAAAGCCATCTAGTCTAAGGAACCACCCACTAACAGTGCCTCAGTCTTATCTGGATTGAGTTTCAGTTTGTTGCCTCCTATCCTGTCCATTATCAAGGCAAGACACCTGTCCAGCACTTCCACTGCCTCACGTTCAGATGTAAAGGAGAAATAGAGCCCAGTGTCATCAGCATACTGCTAACAAGGTACTCCAAACCTGTGGATAACCCCACCCAGCAGTTTCATGTAGATGTTAAACAACATGGGGGATAGGAGTGAGCCCTGCAGGACCCCACTTTGAAGGTTCCACATGGCTGAAAAGCATTCCCCAAGCAACACCCTCTGGGAATGACCGTCCAAGTAGGATTGGAACCACCGCAAAGTGGTGCCACCCACACCTATTTCGGACAGTTGCTCCAGGATACCATGGTTAATGGTATCGAAAGCCATTGAGAGGTCAAGAAGAATTAACAGGGACATGTTTCCAAAGTAGTTTCTGTGCCTAAACCCCAACTGAAATGGATCTGGAAAATCAGTTTCTTCCAAAAGCACCTGGATATGGTATGCGACCACTAGCTACAGAACCTTGCTCAGGAAAAGGAGATTAGCAACTGGTTGGTAGTAGGTTAGGTTTTCCAAATCCAGGGAATTTTTCTTCTGGGCTGCCACCCTGCCACCCCAAACTTCTGAGGGCAGTGGAACTAGCAAGAAGGCCCTACTGCTGAACTTAACACCTGAGAGGATCTGAAGGGAAGAAGATCGTTTTAGAAATTTGGGGCTCATGTTGTTAAGGGCTTTAAACGCTAACGTAAGCACCCTGAATTGAACCCAGAAACTATCCGGCAACCAATGCAGCTGTTTTAAAACAGGGATTATATTGGAGTTCTAAATAGAACCCCAGCTGCATTTGGATCAATTGAAGTTTTCGAGTTGTGTTCAAGGGCAGCCCTACAGAGTGAATTGCAACAATCCAGTCCATAAGTTACTGTGTACTGTGACCGTATCATCTCTGTCCAAAAGGGACTGGAGCTGGTGAACTAGCCTCAGCTAGATATAGGCACTCCTAGTCAAAACCACCTGAGCCTACAGTGATAGTGTTGGACCTTGGAGTAAACCCAAGGCCCAGTGCAGGGTACAATCAAGAGAGCTGCAGTCAGTTCTGACTTCCTGCATAATGCAGGCCTGCACAAGTGTGTTTTTCCACATTCATACTTGACTATCTTTGGTGCACAGCTAAAAATGTAAACTGTGAAGTGGCCCTTCATGATTTGCTCAGAAGAAACATGCCAAAAGCTCCTCAACTCCAAACTTTCAGCCTTGCCTAGTCCATCTGTCCTTAATTCAATGAATATTTCTGTCAGTTTGCCCACTCTGTAACTCACCAAAGCTAGCATTATTCATGGAAGCTTGTGATTGCTGCTGCTGTTGCTGTTGTTGTTGTTGTTGCTGCTGCTGCTGTTGCTGTGAATGGGAGTGCGGGTGGTGGTGCTGATGCTGGTGATATCCTCCATGCTGCATTGAAGAGGGGTGAATGGACATCACAGGTGGGGGGCCATAGCTGTCACCTCCTTGTTGCTTGCCACCCTGGGATGGACAGCCTTCTGAGGTTGGAGTGTGGAGGGGGGGTGCAGCTCCCACCGAGGAGGGCACCTGCTGCTGGTGGTACATATAGTAATTGTGGTTGGAGGGCTGCATGTCACCCAGGAGGGAAGAGAAATCTGAAGGGAGGATTAAGAGGAAAGTATTAAAATGGGTGGCGGGCCCTTTTTAGCCTGGAGGGCCACATTCACCTGTGCCCAGCCCTCCAGGGGCCACTATGGCCACCCACTCTCTTATCAGGTACATGCACTTATGCACACACACACAAGACACACACAGGCATATTATGGCCCTCCTTCTGCTCCTCCTCATCTGATGACTGGCAAGGGGGCAGTGAACACCTTTATCTGGGAACTGGGCTCTGCCCACCCCATGTTTTTTAATCCCTATCTCACTATTTTGCTGCGGCTGCCAACACTGGCAAGGTCTTGGACAGCCAGAAAAAACTGTGTGTGCATGGGAGGGGCAAATCACGCCCTTGAACTGAGGTTAACCACTCCTGCATTAAAATACACAAAGGTAGCAGAAACATCAGTTCTATACACTTCCTAGAAATGAGGCGAGTACCCCAAATATTATAAAACAAGCCATTAGCACTTCAGTGACCACATTTCTAGCAATATTCACTAAACAGCAGCTTGAGTCCAGAATTTTTCACACCTTTTCTACGCGAATAACACAAAAGACAAGATTAGCTTCATGAGATGCTGCCCCCCAGTGGCTGTAACTGATCGACAGAATGCAAAGTACTCTGGAGTAGGCCTGGGCGATTTATTGATATATCATTGCCCAGGACTGTTATGAGGGGCAGACCGTGATGACGGCTTCACTCAGTGGTATATTGTGGGTGACACTGCTGCTTCCAAAGACCCTCTGCTACCAGCACCCAGCACGCCAAGGGAGCAACAAGCTGCAGTGGGGCTGCTCACCTGCCCCGCCCCCCCACACCAGCGAAGGCAGAGGGAGTCCTGCAAACGGAGTCCTGCCAGGCTCCGTCACAGGGCTCCCTCCGTCTTGGGGAGTCATGGGGCTCGCTCAGCTGGAGCCTTCCTGCCCCCCAGCTGAGCAGCAGGCTGGGGCCAGCTGCCACTGGCCCTAGGGTGAAAGTGTCTCAGCTCCCGCGGTGACAGCTGTGGCAGTTTCACCCAGTGCCTCGCAGGCTGGGGCAACTGCAGCTAGTTTCAGCATCACCAAACCACAATGTTTGGCTGGTGATACACCACAATGTGGATCGCCCAACCCTACTCTGGAGCTGGGAAACAAGTACCATATTTCACCAAATGATCATCGCACCCTGTTTTTTCAGTCCAAAAACCAGGTTACCTTTCATTCCATAATCATTGCATGGTATAATTCTGTTTGTCCTGCCACTTAAACAGAGCAGCAATGTATTCACCAGTGGGATATGGATAGACATTTTTCTCTTGCGCATTGTGCATTGCAAGCTTAGCATTCTCAATGCACATGTCAGTATACTATACTGCATTTCCATAGGTGCAAGTGAAGTGTGCAGGCGGGCATAGCTGCCTTGAGTGAGGCACATGATATGATAAGACCTGCATCTTCCTGCGATAGCTTAGTGATAATAAAATTTAGTAATAATAAAATTCTTGCTTCACATAATGGTTGCACCCCACTTTGGGGCAAAAAAAGGCATAAAATCTGTGGCAATTATACAGGGAATTACGGTAATCTTTCTCTGCAACCTGTTTGCTATTGATCTTTCCCCTTTCCCTACAGGATAGGCATGTCCCTAACCCAAGAGGTCAGCTAAAAACACTCAATCCATTATTGAGCATATAGTTCTGTAGCAATTTTTAATTCAGTAGGCATTCTGCAAAAAAGGAGGTTTCATTGAAAAAGGGACATAGGACTTCTAACTTGTCCTCTAGAGCAGGCCAACCTCTTCAGCTGAGAAGGGCTCTTCAAGTGTAGGGGCCTCATTCCAGCCTCAACATCAGGAAGAACTTTCTGACAGTAAGAGCTGTTTGGAAGTGGAAGGGACTCCCTTGGGAGGTGGTGGCCTCTCCTTCCTTGGAAGTTTTTAAGCAGAGGTTGGATGGCCATCTGTCATGGATGCTTTAGCTGAGATTCCTGCATTGCAGGGGGTTGGACTAAATGACTCCCAAGGGTCTCTTTTTTAAGTCTACAATTCTATGATTCTAAGATGATTATCTGGGGTGCAGACACCTCTCTCTCTCTCTCCCTTTCTCTCCACCCCACGATCATACCTCGCACTGTTACTCACCATGCTGGGATGAGGAGGATTTCTCAAGCATGGATTTATAGAGATTTCGGAAGGACCAGCTCAGGTCCTGGAAGTTGATCTCAGAATAGGAGAATTTCAAGTCGTTGCTGTTACTGTAATGTGGAGGTGGCACATCTGGACCTTCACGGCTCTGACCGCCAGCCACTGTTGCTGCCACATCCACAGGCCCTGTGCTCTGCTGAAGATAAACAGGTGTATTAAATAGAATTCTAGCCTTTTGAAACCAGGGATTGTATATGTACAATTCCCCCATTTTCAGAGCTATTAGCTCTGGCCCACATCCAAGGCATGCCACTGTGCCGCAGCTCATTTCCCCTTCCCTTCATCATCCATGTCCTTTTTTGCTTTTCAATGGCCTCCCCCCATTTTCTTCCTCCCTCCTCCCAGCTCCCCCTCAGCAGCCGCCTTTTTCCGCTCCTTCTCCCTCTTCTCACCCTCGACTCACCTGACTGTAATTGCCAATAGGCGGTGTGCTTTGCAAGGATAGCTGCTGGGTGGATTCAGGGGACAGCGATGATTCTGCCCCAACAGAAACAGGCCCCCGGGGGCTCTTGCTTGCCTCTTGCTCTGGGGAATCCTGGGACAGCTGAACAGATGGAAAATATGCTCATAAGAAACACATGGGCAGAGAAGTAAAACTGCAGAGAAACAACTCACTCTAGAGTTGACAGAAAATTGATAGGACTAGATAGGGGCAAGTATGGCAGTCAAGGAGAGCGTCACCTGCCACGCAATGTGCGTGGGAAATTAAAAACTCCATGTCTAGTGGTTGAACAACGGACTCACATGCGGTGAGCCAATTTAAGATCACCAGCCAAGACATAACTATTGAACAAACCTCAGAAACCTTTTGTGAAATATTACACATGAACTTTCCATTAGTGCTGCAAACCAATTAAATAATTTTTATGTGATTAGTTATAAGTTTTAATTGATTAATTAACTGATCTATCAATTAAATCTGCATATGGGTTAAAACAGTGTTTCTACAGCACAAAGCACTTTCTTTGTTTTTAGATGAGGCGTGTATGTGTTGTAATAGGCATTTCTCTGCGTTGTGGCACCCGTCACGGTCCTCCATGCACCAGCAGAGGTTTAGTCATGCTGGCCACATGACCCAGAAAGCTGTCTGCAGACAAACAGCACTCCCTCAACCTGAAAAGTGAGATGCGCGCCACACCCCATAGTCGTCTTTGACTGGACTTAACTGTCCAGCATCCTTGGACAGGCATCATCTTAGAAGAGGCATCCCCCAGACCCACTGAACGCAAAAAAAATTGGAATACTTCTTTTAAGCTCTTGTACTAAAAAAAATATATTTATAAAAATTAAATTGCTGTACAATTAATTGCAGCATCTTTTTGGGTGATTAAAAGTTTTTTAATTAATTAATTTAACTCTTTAATTTAATGTATTATTGCATATTTACTCTAGAGCCAGTCTCACTCTGTTTAGTGGGGTTTACTCCAAGGCATGTGTGCACAAGAATGCAAGCAAAACATTGCAGCCCTACTGAATGATTTAATAAATCTATGCTGTTTTTGGAGCAATATAGCTAATACAGTTATTAATCATTAGGTTAATAATTTAAAAGAACAAAATTAAAGTCATTTAAATTAAGCACATGTGTATAATTTATTATGTATTTTGCTATTTAAATCATAATAATAATAATTCTGATTCTGCTAATAATGGAGCAGGCTGAGGAAGAGAGGGCAAAGGGGGCACGGAAGCCTTTCCCTCCTTTGGCTGCTGCAAATCTTATGCAATTCTTCTCTATTTCCAAATCTCAGCAGACATTGCTCATGAACTGACAAACATTGCTTCAAGCCCATAAAGGCTACAAACTTGCTTTTAAAAAAACATGAAAGTGAAGGCTCGCAGAAGCCTGAATTTTATGACCAATGCATTACTTCTGTGCCATGTAGGATCATGTCCTTTGGAAAAAGTGGATCTCTTAATCATCTCACAAATGCTTTGGATTTTGAGGGTAGGAATGGGGAGCCACACTCACATCGTCATCTGGTGGGTGACGCCTCTTCCGGGAAATATCAGGACAGGTATCTATGGTCCAGTAAGAACCCTGCAAAGAATAAGATCTACTGGTGAAAGGAGTATAAAACCAACCCTTGATATCAGCGATAGCAACAGCAGCAGTGCAACCCATAATACCAAAGAGCATGCAGGTTGCCACAGCTTATCAATTACTCTTGCAGCACAAGACAGGCCCTTTCTTTACATTGCAACATCATTGCAACATCATCCTTGATACTTTTTTGTGATGTCACAATCCCAATACTCCTTCAGTCTCCAATAAACTCTTGGGAAGAACAGGTTGGACAAGAACAGCAATTCTGATGTAAAAGTATGAAAAAGAATGACCAGGGCAGAAATGCAGTAAAATCTTTAAAAATGTGATGTTTTGCTCCTGTTGCAGGATAGTTGTGGGGTCATGCACACACATATTACAGTCTGGGATACAAAGGCCCGCTGCTTTCTCTTAGCTTTCCCAAATGTGCACATACCGAAGAAGTCAGAGCTATTTCATCTACACTAGAGTTTATTACTTATTACTATTAATATTACTATTAATTACTGAGAGATACAGAAGAACAAAACCTGAATGTTCTTTCCTTGCTTCTTCAGCAGAGCAGTACATACCTATGCCCTACTTATACACAAACCTTTGCTCTAGCCTGGAGTAGGAGCAGCAGAATTTTTAACTTGCCTGCATATTTTATGTCCTCACTTAATCTGTTCATTCACATTAGTCCAATTTCTGCCAAGAGCAGGAGTGAGGGTTTAGAAGTCAATGCAACATTGGTTTAAAAAAACACCTCCCCACCATGATGGTCAAATGTCTAGCTTGATCCCTCTCACCTTTCCAGGGTCGTCCCGAGGGCGAGGCACTTTCCGAAAGCATTTATTCAGAGACAGATTGTGACGAATGGAGTTCTAGGGAGGAAAAAAATGACATAGCTAACAGGCAGGCTGCTCACCCATGCCCTTATCACCTCCCTAGCCCAAATACTGCTGCTTTCCCCTCAGCCAGAGTTCCCAGGCACAGCTATGGTTGTTGTTGTTGTTGTTTTGCCACATCAAGAGGGGGGAGCAGGAGATGGAGTGCTGGGTGGGATGGGAAGGATGTGGCAGGCAAGAACAGTGAGGGTTAAGCAGCCTCTTTCCACCTACCACAGCTGCCCTGGAAGTCATCCCACCTGTGGTATTTTGGAGAAGAAGAAGCCAAGCTTCAAGCCAAAGAGCAGTTCCAATCTCCCCACCAGGATGCAGATCTGCATCTCTTACCTACACAATGGGAAATTCTGAACAGAGAAAAGGCAAGGTCTTCTCTTAGAACCAATGTTCTACTCCAGGGATGGGGACCCTTAGGGCCAGAAGATGGAGGCATATGTGACTGAAGAAACCCTTAGATTTTGTGTTGCTAGAAAGTAGCCTTCTGTGCATTTCTCTGCCCAATTCTTCCTCTGGCCCTGCACATCCCTGGCAAGTGGCCTCTAGAAGGTCCCTCATGAAGGAACTGAGTAAAGTGCAGAAAGTTCCCCCACCACAGCTCCTCAGGCAAAAGTTACAGCACAGACTGACTCACCGAACCCCCAAAAGCTAAATTTCTCCTTCACTCTGCAGGAAGAATTAAGGCTGCATGAAACACATGTGACTAATCTGCAGCACACAGTGGCAGTTATGGCGTGTACCTCCACCTACCTCTAGCATGGTGAAATGCCATGGACTGCATATTTGCTATGGCACATTAGCCAATCGCATGCTCTGATTTAGCCTGTGGCACAAGCCCCAAGAAGGCTGGCTACCACTGGCACAGAAGAGAGCCTCTGACTCGAAATAGGAATCTGTAGCTCATATTCCACCAAGCCTCCTAAGTGGAGATTATTATTACCCTCTTTATCTGCATTGAACTAGAAACTATATTTATATATGTACTTATTGCTGATGTTTTTACTGTTGACTGCTTCAGGATGTTTCATGGGAAGAAATTAATAAATGAAATCAATGTTATCTACTTTAAAGATACAGAATGGACTTCAAGCGTATAGAAGAGGCATGGAGAAGCTGAAGACTGAAACACTCATATGGGAAAGTTTCACCTCCCCTCTGGTCAAAATTTAGAATGTAAGTACCTTGAGGCGGAGATTTGTTTTTGTGTTACATTCAGTCTGTAAAACACCATGCACATTCATGGCGTGATCATACAATATAACGTTAAATGGGAATGGATTTTCATAGGAGCAGAAGCTGGAACTTCTGCTCCTATGAATGAACTTCTGAGAATGCCCAAGTCTACTTACCTTCCACCCAATGCCAGCATTCTTATAGTAGGGAAAGTTGTCACAAATCCAGCGATAGATCTCACTGAGGGTCATCTTCTTGGCCGGGGATGAATTGATAGCGTAAGTGATCAGAGTGGCATAGCTGTAGCGCGGCTTCCCATCCTGGTGGACTGCAGCATCGTCTTTGCTCAAGGTGGCATTGGGGTCAGTGGGGGAGCCAGGAGAGCACTTCCGACCGGCCCCTGGGGGACCTGACTGGGAGGCACCCCCTAATTTCTCAATAGTGGCTCGCAGAGTGAGCTGTGGGAGCCAATCAATGGAAGTGAGGCTGCTTTCCAGATCAGAGGCCATGATGCTGGAGGCAAAAGTGTCTACTGTGGAGAAAGAAAGAGATACAGATAGATGGGGCTGTTGAAATATGATCACATTATATATTTTTTTCTCCTACAAGGAAAAAACACCTCAGTATGGCCAAACAAAAGCTGCATCACCAATAGCTCAGTTTCCAAAGCCACAGACATTACTGCATTTGCTTGGTTATGTGTAAGAACTACTGTATATAGGTCAGGAACGAAGATGACAACTTTCTGAGCCAGACTTAAGAGAAGTTAGAACAGGCTTGTATAAAAGTCACTCTTTTCCTTACCTATGGAGAGTAAGCTTCCTCTCCAGGCAACAAGAAAGGGAAGTGCTAAAGAAGTTGAACCACAAATTATTGCAACATGCAGGTGAGCACAGGTAACCTCATAGAAGTTTGTGTGGGTTAGTTACAATGCCCATATTTGGACATTTAAATTGTATTTCCCAGTGATGTTCTGGATACAGGCGGCAACCATTTTACATGGGGGTTCCGTTCCTTGCCCCCACGTGCATCAGTGCAGAACACATAAGCCCACCCCACTCCACCCCATTAAACCACTGCCCCCATTCCACCCTCTTTTGGGTCCAAAAGGACCCATGCGTCAACTGGACATGCAAAATGGTCACTGCCTGTAAGTATTGTTTTGTTCTGATGCATATCATGACTGCTTTGTTTTACAATTAAAAAGAAGGGGGGAAATACCCCCACCACTCTTATTACAGTGCTTCTGACATGAGAGGAGTGAAATATGCCTTGAAAGGTTAAGCCACCATGTTGAGTGCACAAGTCCCATGAAATGAGCAGCAGCTACACAAGAGCATTGCCTGCTAGATTCTACCTCATGAGCTGCATCTGTCTGGCTCTCATTCTTTTGCCCTTAGTGTTAAATAAAATCTACTGCTTGAGGCATGGATAGCACTCGCCCAAAGATTCTGAGATCAACTCTGCAACCTGTGCTATTACCCAGCTAATTTGGGGGAAGGGCACCTCAATGGAAGAAAAGGGATAGCTCTGTAACAACACTTCTCTCCAGTACAGAGCTTTCATATACATTTAAAAGACTGGCAACTAACAAGCTCAGCTAACAGATTAATTAATAAGCAGACAAGTAGTGGCTGAATGACCACCTGGAGGGGAAGGTTTAGTTTCCCTTGCAGGTTATTTCTCTTGTGAGCAGTCCAGCTGAGGCAAGGAAACACCCATCAGCGAATGAACGTAACAATTAGTTGTTGTTTTTTTTAAAAAAACCAGGTATTTTAGGATGACAGGGAGCAGTTGCCCCAATCCAAACATGTATGCACTCAATGTATTCTACCACCACTACTTTCACAACACAAATTGAGCCTATCTGGTCTTTAAGGACTTACACAAGTGTTCAACAGTACTTGTTTCAATACGCTCTCAAACGTGTATGCATCTGCTAGCTTAGACCCGCTTGTCACACTCATAACCTTTAACAGTATTTCACATACCGTATTTTTCGCACCATAGGACGCACTTTTTCCCTCCTAAAAAGCAAGGGAAAATGTGTGTGCGTCCTATGGAGCAAATGCAGGCTTTCACTGAAGCCTGGAGAGTGAGAGGGGTCGGTGCGCACCGACCCCTCTCGCTCTCCAGGCTTCAGGAAGCTATCCTCTAGCCGTGGGAGACCCAGCTCTCCCATGGCTAGCGGAGCGCTGCATTAATCCCGAAGCTTGGGGCGCGCGGAGCTCAGCTTCGGGATTAGCGCTCCGCTAGCCGTGTCTAGGCTGCGGATAGCAGCCTGCTTCCCGGAGCGTCGGGCGCCCTGAAAGCAGAGCGCCCGGCGCTTCAGGAACACATCCGCAGCGTGGGGACCCTTGCAGGAGTTCCCCGCAGGGCTCCCCACGCTGCGGATAGCAGCCTGCCGCCCGGCGGGTGTGGCGCCATGAAGCAGAGCGCCCCTCATGCCGGGCAGACAGCCGCAGCGTGCGGAGCCCTGCGGGAGTTCCCCGCAGGGCTCCCCACGCTGCGGATAGCAGCCTGCTTCCCGGAGCGTCGGGCGCCCTGAAAGCAGAGCGCCCGGCGCTCCGGGAACACATCCGCAGCGTGGGGAGCCTTGCAGGAGTTCCCCGCAGAGCTCCCCACGCTGCGGATAGCAGCCGGCTGCCTGGCGGGTGGGGCCCGCTGAAGCAGAGCGCCCCGCGCGCCAGGCAGACATCAGCCAGCCCCACAAGCTCGGGGGACAGCAGGGAGGCGCAGCGCCACTATCCCGCTGTTCCTCGACCTGGTTCGGTTTCCCTGACCTGCTTTTGGGGGGGAAATAAAGGGGAAAAATTTTCCCTTTATTTCCCCCCAAAAAAACTAGGTGCGTCCTATCGTGCGAAAAATACGGTATGTTTTATCAGTCTTTACAACAACCTTAGAATGGTGGGCTGGTGCTACTGCCTCTGTGTTAGGGGTATATATAGTGAAAACACTGGTCAATTTGACAGTACAGTGGTACCTCGGGTTAAGAACTTGATTCATTCTGAAGGTCCGTTCTTAACCTGAAGCACCACTTTAGCTAATGGGGCCTCCCGCTGCCGCTGCACGATTTCTGTTCTCATCCTTAAGCAAAGTTCTTAACCCAAGGTACTATTTCTGGGTTAGCGGAGTCTGTAACCTGAAGCGTCTGTAACCCAAGGTACCACTGTACAATGATGTATGAATACCACTGGGCTATCATTATGTATACCCCTTGAGCCATATCAGCAGTGAAGTAAGTTACTATAGGATTAAAAGGTTTATGATGATTTACCAAATCATAATTTCAATGGTGCCAACTTCTGAAATGGTCTAGTGGGGCTCAAGTCCATCACCCCTAATTCCCCTGTCAGAGGCAAATGCCAATTTTAAAACATATTCAGGTTAATATCAATCCAAGCCTATTGATATCAGCAATGCTATCTCATTAAGCTAAATATAATCTCTTTCCAACAAATTATTGTAATAATACTAATTCCCCATAAAAGTGCCAAGGACATTCTTGATTCTTCCAGGATCTAGAAGCAGTTTTAGCTTTCAATGTTAGAGTATTCCTCCTCTAAGTCAGAGACGCTGTTTCGGAAGGACTGAAAGGGAAGAGCAAAGAAAGCAATTGATAGCCCTTGCAACCAAAGAAAGAGGTAAGCCTTAACCCACAAATGAGATTACATACGTATGACAAGATTTGAGGGGAATCTTTTGCCCTCTACCACATTCTGTGGTTTTTCTACATTTACATGGATTTTAGCATATATACAACCCTGTTCACAAGGCAATTTGTGTGGCTCAGAAAGGCAATGGGGGAAAAAATAAATATGCCGCTACCTTTCAGCATGAAACAACTAACATATTTCAATGTAAGTGACTAACATGTGTGACCTTAGGGTGAAAACTGAATCCGGCCCCTAGTCTCAGATTCCCTGCACTGTGAATGCCACTGATTGGTAGAAGGTGGTATTCTGCTTGTCCTGCTCTTCTGTAAATTCTTTCATCCTTGCCTCATCCTGCCATGGCAAGCAATGCCTCTGAATTCACACAGCAGGGTTTGAGAAGCTTTTCACATGCAGTGATGAGAGCATTAAGGTTATAAGCAGGACAGCCAGCCAGGTGCAAAACAGTAGCTGGGGTGGCAGAGCCCATTCAAAATGATGGCTTTGAGGGGAGTCAATTACCTACTCCACCCGACAGGCCACACACTTGGATGACCTGAACAAAGTACAAACTATACCTGAGTTACTATAGACCAGGGATTTTCAAATTCTAATGTGTGGGGAATGAAAAACTTGTGTTGTTGCTATAGTTAAAAATTGGGAGTCAGAAATCCTTGCTCATCTACTGCAAATCATCCAGCCATCATTCAAGAAGCCATTGATATATCCTGATCTACCTCCTGCCCACCCCAACTCTGAAGCATTTTTCTAAAAAGCATTGATCAAGAAGCAAGCAGTGTAGCAGTTCCAAGTACCAGATAGCTTTATCTTTTTAAAGAAAAAAATTCTTCTCATGTTCATGAAAAATTGGGTATAAGACTAAACGTTACCTTGAAACACATTGTTCCAGGTGGATGATAAAAACAAGACTCATCTCTCAACAAGACGCATCAAGTTACACTTGCTTTTTATTGTTATAACCTGCCCTGGGACCTTATGGTGAAAGGTGGGTAAGCAATCTAATAAATCAATCAAACAAGCCCTTACAAAATGTTATATTTTGTAAATGAGTCAATTAACCAAATATCTGTGTAACAAGAGTTTGGCAGCTCTACACATTGTACCCACTATCTCTATCTTAATCCCAAATCTTCTTTCTTAACTGCATTTTCTAATAGTTATTGGGTCATACAGTAGCTTGTCATCTCTTCAATTTTTACAAATATATATACATACTAAAAATATAATATTTGACAAGGAAAATAACGATGGTGTCTAAACAAGGTGAATTTAAAAGCGAGAAGGGGGGAACACATGGGATAAAGGACAAGCATCATATCTCACAAGCAGTGAAGACTTTTAAAATTGGAAACGTATGGATATATGGTTAGGAAGGGGGTTGTCCTACCAATGCTATTTATGAAGTGCAAAGAGGAAATAACATTTTTCTTGTCCTTTCCCATTATCCAGAAACCTTGCTGCATGCACTATAGTGGAATCAGTTGCTCAGGCTCAGGGCTGGAAGGCAACCAGCCACAAACCTGAGCCCTTTCCAGAATAGGCGGGGAAATTTTTAAAAGAGTGGGAAAGAAAAAAAATGTTGTCTCTTTTCCTACTCCGTTCCTGAAAACTCCCCTCCTTCTGAAAGTTCTAACAGCACTACAAGGCTGGCTGGCTGGGCAGCTTGAACTGCAGCACAGTTGGAGGCTGAGAATAGACTGAAACATTGTTTCCTATTTTTTTACCCTTTTTCCCTCCAATATTGGGCACTTCCACACTTATCAGTGTGGAAATGAAATGGAATTACCCAAAATCATGGTAGTACAGTGGTACCTCGGGTTACATACGCTTCAGGTTACATACGCTTCAGGTTACAAAC